GGAAGAGGCGTGTTGAAGAGCCAGCTTCCTGTGGACGGGTACAGGTAGGAAGCTCGGTGCCACTCTGGGGGATTTCCTATGTGCCAGAATGCAGACAGCTCTGCCAGGGCAGCAACATCGGGCTGACTTCCCCTCAAACAGTTTCTCTGCTTTCTATAGAAGGAACTAGCCCTTTCCTCCAGTGCCAGGACTGCATGGTAAACATCTGTGGCTATGTCATAATAAAACTTAAATTAATCCATCTGGGTTAAGCTCCACATCACTCTCACCCTCTCCCCCATAACATCAACCCGTCCACAACCTGAGGTTTGCAAAGCAGTTCAGCTTTTTCCTAAAGTGAACTATATGCTTAAGCTGGGACTTTCCCCACACTGCTTCATCAATAACCAAATATTCATCTGTTTTTCATCTTTTATAAAGATTGTGACATCGCCACCTCTGATGGCTCCTTATTTGTTGTTTTAGCGTTATCCTTTTTATTCACTTACTATTACTTTGATGGGATATTTTTTAGAAGGGAGATAAGATAAACAACTGTAGTCCCCCTGCCATCTCATCTAGGAATTCACTCTTGTCAAAAACCAGGCTGCATTACTAGACGCAGTCTAATGAATTCTAGCAGGCTCACCAACATATGCTGGATATTGTCAAACAGTGTCAAAACTATCCCTTTAACTGGACTGAAATGAGAGTTCGTTCTATCATTTTTAAGTTATCTGTTTTCTCTCATAACGAGTTGATGGAAGTTTATTGCTTTTATTAGCAAGTGATAAAACTGAATAGAATGAGAAACCTATATTTGATTTTATGTATATATACCAAACAGACTCATGTATGCCAAATACCATTACTGAAACCATTTATAGAGTTTCTTACTGGAAACTTCAGCAATAATGAAAAACAAATAAATATAATTTTCTATATTCACACAATAATCATTATGTTATATTGTGTAAATTCAACTTCTATGATATGGGCCAGCTTGTAAAAAGGTTACAGGAATTCACATATTTAAGACTCAAACACATATTTTGTGGATTATTCACAGGAAAGTTTATTATAACGGTATGGTGCATTCAATGGCAGATTCCACCTACTACTCAAATTATGTACTTAAAAAAGAAAACCTATGTAATTTCAACATAAGCATACACTTACTATAAATGATAAAAGAAATTCACTTTTAAAGAACTGCATAATTCATCCTCGTGCTAAATAAAAGCAATAATCCATGGCACTGTTTTTCTAAGGGAACCAGTCACCTACCCCACACTAACAAAAAATCCAAATTTTTGGAAAAGCAAAGCGTCTGCCCATCCCTTGAGAAAAGTTTAAATATCTAAAATAGTGAATTTTCAAGTTAACAACAAAACAAAGCAAGCAAAAACACGCAGACTACCAAAGGGACATTGACATGCGGTCTTTGGCCCCATGTAAGTAAGTCTAACTGCAGTATGATTTTGCAATTAATTCAAGGCTGCAGGGCAGTACTCACTGAAACTCTGAGACGTAGGAACTAATAAACTGGAACAGGTTCAAAATATTCAATTACCCACATCCCACTGTTTTCATCCTTCAAAGAATATAACAATAATTTTGGTCTTACGTCTAAAATCAAAAGGGAAAAAGAAATAACATATATTAAATACCTACCATATGTGGGACATTGATAATCTCTATACAGTCTCATTTAACTGCCACAGCAATTCTATAAATTAGTGCTATCCCAATTTTATGGATGGAGAGACTGAGCTAAGGGATGTCAAGTGACACCAAAGATATTGATATCAAGATGGACCTACAACCTAAGTGTTTTGATTATTAATCTAGAACTGTTACCACAACACACTTGCTTCTGGAAGTTTCAGAAATCATCTCATTCAGCATTTCCCAATCTAAATTCCATGAAACTCTAAGAGTCAGTAAGATATTAACACATGTTCCAAGAAACAGGGGCTCTGAGGTTCAAAGGTTTGGGACAAGTTACAACACAATTTCACAGAACTTTAATAGGCACATTGTGACTCTCCAAGAAGGTGATAAAATGAAGTTCTGCTATCTCATTTATTAAACTATGAAGCCCTTTTTTACAGAAAACTGAATAACATCCCATGGGATGCTTGTGCTCAGCACAATTTGGAAAATGATCATCTAGTCCAATCTCTTCTTTCTATGATTTAATAAAATGAGGTAGAGAGAGGTCAAAGGACTCACTCAAGGCCACACAGAAAGTTCCTAACAGGGCCAGGGCTGGTACCGAGGAGGCCTAATAATTCCACCAGGCTGCTCTTTGCTCCTGTATCATCTTGTCTTCTCACTTCAACACTATTTCTACAAAATTCAACACCAATTAAAAGGCAAAAAAAGTATTACATCAATCATTTATTTTGACTCTTCTGAATGGCAGCAGAGAGAAACCATTGATAGACACGAAGCTCTAAAACAGTCTACCTCCCACTGCACTAGAATTTCAGAAACATATATTGGGATATATTTGGAAATGTGGGAAATGATTCCACTTTAGTAATGCTGAACACCACTTTTCAGCCAAGTAGTGCTATACTCCCGATTTTCGTTAAAGCGAGGTATGAGGTAGAACCACACTCTAGTATTTCATACAGATACTGCCAGAGTTAAAAATATCCAATTTGTGACCACCTTTATAAAGAGCAATTTTTCAGTTTCCCCTTACTCTTTTATCCTAAAGGAGCTTCGTTTTACTTTGTCCTACCCTTTCCAGCATGTAGTAAACAGTCCTGGGCCAAAGATGCCATCTGGTGTTTAGTTCAGGAATTATTTAACCCAACATATCTTCTAATTACTATCTCACCATCCTGTCCCTCTCCAAAACCACACTCCCCTTTCTTCCAATTCTTGCCCATTCACTTCAGTAAGATCTTTTTTCTTCTTTCTTGCTGTTTATCCCAACTGAGTAAAATAATAATAATAATAATAATAATGAAAAACATTTTATTCGTGGCTTTCTAATTACAGAAAACATGAATCTGAAATACACTTACAGCTAAAGAAACAAGCCACAGTAAGAGGCCAATACACAACAGAACCTCAAAAATGCCCTAATAGAGGCCGTACCTCAATAAAGATTATTAGAATATCTATTATTCATTCAATGCCTTCAAAGAATATCAGCATTGAGAAGGACCTTGAAAAGATCACTGCTAGCCCAATTGCTTCATTTTACAGCTGAACAAACAGGTCCTGTGAGAAAGACATAGAGCAATCACCTGTCCAACAGCACTCAGAGTTCATGGCAGAGCCAGGATTAAGGCCTAGGACTCCCCATTCCAAAGCTAGTGCTTGTTAGCTACACCGTATGCTCCAGGCTCCTCAAGACTGTTTTTTCTTAACCAACATTCAAAAAAAATATTTTTCAGTGTATTTATATTTTCCTTAACTAATTATGTTGCTATTATGAATCCTTTGAGGGCAGGGCCATAACTAAATGTCCTCAACGCCACCCACGCCTAACAGTGCCAAGCACATTTAATAAATATTTATTCTTTATCTATTATTAATTACTGTACTTACTGCAAATCTAGACTACTTTCACCACATCTTCCATAAATATGCTTTTATTTACTTAAAAACCTAACTGCCATTTTATAACACTGTTTCTATGGAAAACACCAATAATCATCACGTTGTAAGTTCTGGAACACAATTCATTCAGAAATTTGGGACTTCCTGTTAAAATTAAGGGTTCCTGTCCATCTGATCAGTCTTAACCAAACAAAAATGAAAAAGAATATGTAGCAGAGGGGGAAAAGCAACCAATTTTGAAGAAAATGGGAATTTTAGTACCAATTGCTTTATAATCAGGCTTTAGGCAAGCTCAATTTTTCTCTCCCATAAAATACTCCTCGACTCTAAGCACAGGCCGAATATGTGTAAACATTTTATAAATTACAGATATCAATGATTACTAATAATAGTAATTTATATTCTACGCCATGACTAATCACTTTACATACACTGTGTCATGTAATTCCTACGACCTTATTTTACAGATGAGAAAAACCAAGGCTTAGCAAGTTAAGAAACTTGTCCAGGTGAAAGCTAAGACTTGAAGAATCCAGCATTCGAACTCAGATCTGAAAGCTTCCAGGCTGGTGTTCCCAACAGGTACGTGGGCGATGCTGAAAGCCAACTTTAAAAAAAAAAAGGAACAACTCCCCTCGGGGTTCTGAAGTCAATGAAGCTTGAAGGTAACTCAACCAACCCTCTTTATTTTCAGGTTATAGCTAACTCCACAGTGAAATATCTGGGTGCAAAGAAAAACGAGAGACCCGAGTCTTTTCCTGTCTTAGTAGGCCAAGTCAGTGCCCTGAAAGTCTTTTGCTCTCTGAGCTGGGTTAATTTGGGGCGGGGGGAGGGGGGGAGGAGGTGCTACCCTGGAGCCAAAGAGGCTCTTGATCGTGGCTCGCGTTCAAGGTGTAAACTGTGAGTGTAAATTCATGATTCTGGGAGATCTTTCATCAGTTCCCCCGACGAAGAAGCGCTGGACTGGACATCTGCAAAGTTCGGCTTGCCCCTCCAACTGCAGGCAGCCCTCACAAGGAGGAGCACTGCTGGCGCGCACCGAGGCCGGCTGGAGGGCGGGCTCTGCGTCTTCCCTTTCATATTTCAGCTACGTAAACCCAGAACTGCGGCCGGCGCTCGGCTAAAGGTTGCGGGGCCGCAGCGGGGTGACCACGCACTCCAGTGCGCACCCCGCGCGGCTCACGGAGGGCGGTTGACCGCCCCCAGGGCGAAACCGCACCACCTGCCGCCCAGCGTCTGTGCTCCGCCTTTGGGGGCTAAGGCCGATGCTCCTCTCGCTAGCAGGACCAGTGGCGCGGGTCCCCGCGTGCGGGAAGGTGGCCGGGCCCGCGCGGCCCAGCGAATGGGCCCGAGCGGGAAAAGGAGGCCGCACGGGCGGCACAGGTCCCTCCCGAGCCGCCTCCAGCGCTCCGCGCGGCTGGGCCCCACGAGCTACTTACTGAGGAAGACGCGGTAATCGGGCGAGTGGGGCTGGCCGCGCTCCTCCGTGCGGTACAGGGCCATGGCGCGGCCCGGCACGGCCCCTGCGCTCACTCGCCCTGGCAGGCGGGCAGCGACGATGGAGCCCGCGCGCCAGCCCCAGCCCCAGCCCGTGCGCAGCAGCGGCAGCAGCGCGCGCATGGCGCCGGTAGCAGTACGGCTTCGTGTGGGGTGGTGCCGGCCCGGCCCGGCCGCTCGCCGGCGCCCCCTACCGCCCGGAGTCGTCACTCCTGGCCCGGAATCTAGATCCCCGCCCCAGCGGTCTGAAGACTGATGGGAGAAGCAGAGAGCTCCGCGAATTACCAGGAATGCACAGTGTTCCTGCAGCGAGGGTTCAGAGATGAGCAAGACAGGTCCACCGCCCTTGAGGAGCACCCTGTCACTTATTAATGCATACATGCATTCATTTATTTACTCAACCAGTCAACATTTAATATTCGTAATATTATTATAGTGATATAGAGTGGTTATTCTGCGCCAGGCACTGCCCAATGTAGGCGACAAGCATGCACACACACAAAAACGTCATTATAAAACAATGATCAGTCCTCCTTATGAGACTTGACTCTGACAAATAGAGCAAAAAAATACAATAAACAAGATCCATATCCTCCATGAATCCTTTTCCTACTTAACCCAAGTAAAGGGGATTCACCCTTCCTTTTTCTTACATGTTCACTTCTACAATAGCACTTAGTACTGTTTTTGTGAACCTATCATATTTCCTATTTCAGCTTGACCCGATCACCAGATTGTTAAAGTGCCAAGCATTTAGGACTTAAGATTTAGTATCCTTGCAGGATGTAACACCATACCTTGCATATAATAATGGCACCTTTGTTGTTGAGTTAAATTGCTCCCGGAACTCCCCCCTCTACCAAATCTGTCTCATTAGCATATGAATTCTGGTTACCAGTTTTCCAGAAAAACTCGTGGAAAGAACTGTCCATAGGCACTACCTTCACTTCTTCATATTCTTCCCTCATCTCAGTCCTAAAGGCTTCCTTCACCTTCTCAGGGTCAACAATGACCTCCTTATTGTCAAACATGAAGGTCAATTCTCAATAAATCATGAGAGAATCTGAAGAGAGTAGTACATAAGATTTTTTTAAATTAGAAATTAAAACTTTTAAAGAAATTTAAATATTTCAGTTATTTTATAAAAGTAAAAGCAATTCTACAGAAGGATGAAAAAAGTGCACTTACGGTCTTTGTAAAACCCAAGTGAGATGGTTTTAATTAAAAGAGAAGGCATTTTTAAAATAATAATTTCTTAAAATACTCTAATAAAAACAATGTTAATAAGCACAATGAGTACATAAATTCACGAAAATATAGTTTTACTCAAAATATTGTCTTACAAGACAAATGTCTTTATTAGATTATATTAACTAATTTATACTGATTAAGCCACCATTATAGGTCTGATCTTAGTCCAAACTAGTTAACCTCTCTCTCTCTGTTCCACGACTACAAACTACATCCTCTGGTTATTAATATTAACAAAATAGACAAAATTTTAACAAATTAATTATAACCTTTACTCACAACAATCTGAAAGCTGAAATCTGACCAAGATAACTCTATAGCCATCATGTAACTTTACATATAGACAATAGTACTTTTACCTAGGCAATGGTCAGGATTTTCATCAACAGAAATGTTTGGTGGTAGGTAACACAGGGCTCTCCCATATGAGGGAGCCAAGTTATTTCTTATTGCTTGATCTCCTTTGCTAAGATAACCCTCATAGTTTAGTACGACTGCTACAGCTCCAACTATCACAGCCTCACTCCACTTAGCAAAAAAGAAGAAAATAATAATAAGGTTCTGTCTCTTCCTCTAAGAACACATCCAAGAAATTGCATACACCACTTCTACTTGCATCCCAATGAGTAGCACTTAATCTACTGGCCACAACTAACTATGAACTGTAAACTAACAGCCTGTTTTCTGGAGGGTTACAGGCCCAGATAAAAATTAGGAGCCATACTACTATACAATAAAGGGGAAATGAATACTGGAGAACAGTCAGCAGTCTGCTACAAATGTCATTTTCTTTCCTTATCATGCAACTTCCTTAAAACGGTCTCTGAGAAGTCTCCATATTTCTACTCCAATTGGATTCAGATTCTACTCAACAGGATTCAGACTCTTCCATACTAGGCACCTGGTATCTCTAATTATTTCAGCATTTCCAATTATTTTGTGACAGTTTAAATTAGGAGACTAGTCTACCCAAGTTCCAGAAAGCTCTCTAGGAGACATTGTCAGCAACCACTTAGACTTTACTAACATTGTAGATTCTAAAATGTTTTGTCAACAGTGGTGGCTTTATAACATGTCAAGTTGATTAGGCTAAATTATAAAGCAGACCTTCCATACAAAAAGGGAGGGAAATTTCTTTTGTGCATAAATCACAGTAGCTATATAATTTTACTGTTTCCCTATAAAACAAAAAAGCTTAAGTGTTCTTGTAACCTTTGAAGTTAGATGGTTCAAAAAGACAAAATCTTGTTGAAATAAAGTTGTGGGCTGATTCTGATGTTTTTAGAGCTTACAGATTCTTAGAATAAAATCAGACATTCCAGGCGTCTGATTTTTCAGACACTTTAATGCTTCATGGCATGAAGAACAATGCCATCTTTGGGAAATAGTGAAGAGAAGCATTTTTCCCAGAGAATTCTTCCTCATATTAACAGCATTCTCTGTTTTCTAACTCTCGCAGCTATCCACTGAGAGAACCCAGCATATACTTCTGAGGACTCTCCTTGCCGACAGCTTTCCTTAACTCTGGCAACATATCTTTTATTTTATTGGTAACTGCTAACAAGTTACGTGCATCCTGATTTGAAGAAAACAATAATAATATTTAGCATTTTTAAGATATGAAACATTTACTTAAAACAAAATATTGACACTTATTTGTTATTTTGTAAATCACATTTTAAAATGTTACCAAGTTTATCAGACATTCGGTAAAGGAAACAATTAATTTTATTGTTTTCATTTATTAATCACTTAAATCCCCATCCTTCATTCACTACAATTTACTGAAATATTTGAGAATCAGAATTAAGACTGTGTAATTTAGATGATAAGAAGCAATAGGTAAACCAGGTTAGGCTCTTTAAATTTTTAAAATATAAATTTCTGAGAGTAATATTTATTACACAATATTTAATTATATTTCAACAAATATGTTGGAGAGTAAAGACAAATACACATGAAACTGTTAAATAACATTTTCAGTATTTACAAAATACTAAACCACCAGAAATTCTTGAATATAAAATTGATTTTATAAACTAATAACTCGGGAAAACTGATATATAAATCGGAGGTCCCCAAACTTTTTGGAACCAGAGACCAGTGCATTAGGTTGTACCCTTGGAACCAGTATGTGAAAGTGAAGGTAAAAAAGCAAGGGCTCAAATCCCGAGAACTCTATCACCCCAGTGACTGGATGCCAGCTTCCCTTGAGAGGGCAATGATTTGGGCAAAGCAGCTAAGGCCATCCTTATAGAGGCTTACAGTGAACGCAAAAAAGTCTTTCATTAAAGTGCCACCTCCCAGTGACTCCTACAGCTATGAAACTGAGGTGGGGATGGGAATTGGAGATAGAAAAAAAAAAATAGATAATGAGAAAATCCCAGTCTGGTTTCTGCTTTTAGCATTGGGAAGCATAACACAAAACTTATCATGGGTATAGTTGCAATTTTCTGAAATGCTGGATTATCCTAACAGGAAATAAAAGAATCTTACAATTGTGGAGTAGTCATTTATGTGTTAATTTTAATAAAAGCAGTTTGTGTTTCAAAAATGAATTGTTATTCTTACCTACAACATAAGTAGGTAAGAAAACTAAACATTTTTCTAGTTGTCATTGCTCATACTTGCTAACCAATAGCTAGCTTATGGGGCCGGGCCATGAAATATAGCAGTATTTAATAAAAGTAATGAGAATTTTAAAACAGTTTTGAACGTTTTCTAATTTACCTATTTAGGGACACACAGATTGTGATATTTCACTCTCCTTTTTAATGCTTTAATAAGAGAACTGTAAAAATATTTTCATGTTATCAAACATTTAAAATATTTGTTATATTATCAAATAAATGTTCCAAAAATATTTCTAAATGTTATCTAAAGCTCATGTTTATCCATTTTTTGTCAGTCACATTTTTCCTTCTAAATACATGTCAAAATTCTATCATTTCTCATTTAAAGACTATTATTCTATTGAGAAATTTATCATCATAACAAAGCATCAAAACAATAGAAGCTTTATCTGCTCACTTTACATATTGAAATATTGTATTACAAAATGTATAATGAATTTATTTTCCTTAGTAAAAGCAATGATACCCCAAGAGAGTAAGACAAACCAGAGACTGAGAAAAAAGATTTGCAAAAGACATTAGAGTGTAAGTCCTGATATTATTATTTTTTCCTTTGTATAATGCAAGTGTCTGACTTAAGTTTTGATTGCTTCAAATAGTTATTCTATTTCAAAACTGGCTACCTCAGAAAGATACATTGCCAGGCACACAATCAGAGAAAGAGCCTCCTCACCACCCCCTACAAGGCTCCTTTGTTTTAGAGATCTTAGTTGATTTTAATAACTGACCATTTGGGCCACTTGTTCGTTTTGTCTTCCCCTGCTTTAAATTCCCATTCTTATGTTTTAAATTCACCATTAAAGAGTGAGCTCAAAAAACCCAGTACCCCGCCTTCAACCCCAATAAAAGCAGAACACTAGGTCTGTGACCATGCATGGGAGTGTGCATTCTCTCTCTCCCCCACCCCCCACCTCTCACTCTCCTCCACCCTGAAACCTCACTGTGTTGCCCCAGATGTGCTATGTAATTTCTAGGTCTTGTAAGTAATAAACCTGTATCTTTTCAAAGTTTCCTGATGGTTATTGCTGAAGGGCGCCTTGCAATCATAATAAGAACTACAAGAGCTGCTCCAGCCACAATGTTGGTTATAGATAGGCTGAGACCAGTACAAAACAGACACATCTCATAAAGTCTTTTATCAAAATATACAAAGAATTCTTAAAACTCAAAAATCAAAACACAACCTTATTAAAAAATGGGTTTAAAAAAAGAAAACAAAATAATGAGAAAAACTGCAAAGAGATTATTATAAGTTTTTGGGTGCGGAGCCTACTAATTGTCC